GGACAGAAGCATGACAAAGACAAAAACTGTTGACCTGGAGCTGTTGTTCTTGCCATCTGACAAAACAGATTAGCGGCGACGAAGGTGAACAAATAGACTGGAGAAGCTTGTGCACGTTGCCTCTCAGGACGTTGGCCGACTCGAGTGGGTTGTGATGAGCTACGGACCGAACCAGAGGAAGGTGGCGGCAAACCCTCTCCCAAATAATTCTTAGATGCCCGACCAACTATGCTGACTGGTGACTGAAAACGTGGCGACAATTTGAGATTCTCGGCCACACCTGTTGCGCGACCAGAACGAGAACCACAACCACGCTAGCAGACTGGAGATGACGACCTGGACGGAATTGAATGGTGACAAGCGGACAAAATTCAGGATAAACCCTCGACAGCGGCGGAGACACCTTTGCTTCTTCATCTGACTAGATGACGATCCGCAAGACAGAAATACCAGCTGCAGAGATGTAGACAAAAAACGAATCAAACTGCCGACGATGCTGGACTGGGGATAGAGACTCGTCGGGGATAGAGACTCGTCGGGACAACGATTACGATGAGATCGGCCATCGCTGCTGACCTAACCTTCGGTGACCAGTGACTGAAATCGGTAAAGACTTGATGACCTTCAAAAGGCAATGCCGCCCCTAGGGCCTCGAAGAAAGACGATACATGGCGAACCCAGCGGCAGACGAAGACCGTGAAGCGGACAAGCACCAACTTGACGACTTATGGCACCTTGGCTTCGATCTGACGACAGATCTAGATGTCTCGTTCTCGACGGCGGGAAGGACTTCGCCGTCGAACTACAATGGAGCAGAGGCGGCAACGATACAGATCCGAAGTCGGGGCCGGAGTGGACATCGGCTCTTCTTTCGACAACGATCGTGATTAATCGTGGGACGCCGAGATGATGTTGGAGATGCCGGCTGACACCGGCAGTGGCTACTATGAAAGTAGCGTGAGAGATTGATGGACGGCGGTCTGGACTTCGCCTATGGAGAGATTGAATGCGGAAGCTTAAAACCCTAACAGGGATCGAACCAGGCTCTGATACCATGTAGAATTCGATGATGCGGAAGATGAAATAACACACGAACACAATATTTTACGTGGTATCCTCGATCGATTGATTGATCGAGACTAATCCACGGTGAGCTCGGAACGAGCTCACGGCTGACGTTTTATTATTTGAGGACTACATCTTGACGGCTTGCTTACGACAATCTCGTAGCTAAGCTTATATAGAGATCAGACTTAGGGTTAAAACCCTAATGATAACCAGGTTTCCTTCTTTGACAAGGACAAGGAAACAAGGGACTTGGAGGACAAGGAATTAATTATTTTTGACTAAATAATTAATATCCTCAACATATTATGGTCGTGTCCATGCAGCGACCAGAAAGGTCGGACGACCATAGGGCCTCGCATAAACTCCATCGTCACGAACAACCCAGTCTCCGTAGGTTACGGTGACTTTCTACGCCACGAAAGAAATACGCCTGTCTTGAACCACGAGTTTGCACCAGAAAAGTGTCCTGCCAACGAAACTCGGCCCGAAGCTCCAGTGGATGTTAGACCCAACGGCTAACGCATGCGCTCCGAGGTCGTCGTCTTTGGATCGACAATGCACAATCAGTATTTTTTTGGTTAAGAGATTGGTAATGTAAACCGATACCTGGACCGAAGGACGTGCCATAATGATCATTATGGTCGCCAAAACTACCGCCGCTCGCAATGCTTTGTTGATAACCATAGCAAAATCTGATTCTCTTACTTATTAATTAGAGCTATCAATGTCATTCAATCCTTTTTATAGTGCTTGGAATGATGAAGAGTAGAAGATTAATTGAAGCATTCGAAAGGCCGGTGTTGGATTTGCTTGTTATTCTGTGACGGGAGATATTGTCGTTTTCGGGCCGTTCACAAGGGGAGCGGATCCCCTCAGTAACCAATACCTCAGTAACCATCAGTAACCCCTTCCATTGGCCCCCACGTGTCAGCTTTTTCTTTTTATTTAAAAAAAATACGGAGGGGCACTAAGGTAAAATTGCACCCCCTATTTAATGATGTCTCTGACGCGCTGACGCTGACCAGATCACATCAGCGCCTTCTCTCTCCTCAAACAACCTTTAATTTTCCTTCTCTTAATCTTTAACGGACGATTTCTCACTCGTTTTAAGTCGGAATTTATTTTTTTTTTGCACAGTTAGATCAGATTAATTGTGCTCTTCAAAATGATATCCACTTTGATAATTTTCAGACATAAAAAAATTTGTCAGTTATTACCAGTCTATACCATATGGTAATGACTGGTATTGACCATACCATATGGTATGAAAAAATTTTCACATCAATATATATTACGTTACCACCCAATACCATATGGTATAGTGTGGTAATATCAATATATATTTCGTTACCACCCAATACCATATGGTATAGTGTGGTAATATCAACATATGGTAAATCTAACTACCATACAATGCCAACATAGTAGAACATGGTTAATCGAATGAACACAAATTAATTGTAATTACCATACAATACCACATGGTATGAGAAGTTAAAACCATACAAAAATAATATAAATCTAATTACAACCCTTTTACGACCATAGTAAAACACGATATCCATAAAAATACATTTCGTTACCACACTTTACCATATGGTATACATTTTACCATATGGTATAGACACATTACCATATGGTATAGACACTTTACCATATGGTATATACACATTACCATATGGTATAGACACATTATCATATGGTATATACAAATTACCATATGGTATGGTGTGGTATATACACATTACCATATGGTAATGTGTCAATACCATATGGTATCGACACATTACCATATGGTAATGTGTATATACCATATGGTATCGACACATTACCATATGGTATAGTGTGGTAATCTCAATATATATTCTCAAAGAAGGGGAAACAGAAGGAGGAAGAGGAAAAAAAACTTGTCTTCTGTCTCCTGTCATTTACTCCTCCGCAATGAAGAACACCGAATGCAAAAAGAAAGAAAAAGAGGAAGAAGATCGGAATTAATTCACAAACAAATACTAAAACACAAAAGATGCAAACTCAACTCACCTAGATCTGTCCCCTCTTTGACAATATGGAGCATCATCGATTTTGAGGCCGATAAAAGAAAAAAACAGAAGGAAGGAGCAGCTTGAGAGTAGAAGGATTTGGAGCCTCACCGAATTTGAAGTGGGAGGCTGCAATTTATTCATCGATTGTTGGAGAAAAAAATGAAGAACAAGAGAAGAAATGAGATTTAGATCTGGAAAAAGAATTTTGGAAGAGAGAAAGGAAGAAAGAGAAAAAAGAGAGGAAGAGAAAAGTCTGCTTTTTCTCTTTCCTCCATTAAAAGACAACACATATAAATGTTGGAAAAAATAAAAAAAATGAAAGAAATCAAATTTCAAAAATCGGACAAAAATGCCCCTCCTCACTTCACGTGCAGCCCAACAATATAATAATGCCATCCCTAGATCTACGGTCCGGATTTAATACTGATAGGTCAGTAACCAATGGTTACTGACCCTATCTGCTGCCGTTCACAAGGGAAAAGAGTTACCGGTGCCGGAAACTCTTTTCCGACTTTTACCCTTTTCAATTTTGCCGGCGATGCCAAATCATTCCAAACCGGACGGCCGGGCTGGTCCAACTCAGAAGAGATCTGCGGGAGGTGGAGAGAAACGGGTGGAGCTCATGCTTCATCTTAGAACATTATTGTCTCATCTTAGCTCCGATCCTTTAGTTACAAAGATGAAAAGATTTGTTAGGAGAAATAACATGTGCTTAACAAAATCGATGGGATCATTGTGATTGGAACAAAAGACTTTTTATGTTGAGATAAGTTCACCTATGGATCATATAACAATCTATACATGAACCCTACAAATTGGCGGACTCTCGCCCCTCCCAATTAATCAGATTCTCAAAATCTTCTCAATACTAGCTAGGAATGTGGATGCTTAGTGGATTCCTTAGATGATATCTTTTGAACAGATGACAGCACCACACTAGAGTTCCTGAGAAAATTATGTTCGCCCGTTATCGATATTTATTGTTCTTAATAATTACGGGCACCAATTGTTGAAGATCTTTGCAGCCTTCTTGATCGCGTATTGCTCAACATGGCTTTTCAGATTTGATTTATTCAATTTTAGCTACAGGGGAAAATAATGTGAACACTGAACAGACCAATATATTGGATACAAGCTAAGAAGAAATTAAACATTGCTCTTGAAGTCGTAGACTCGTAGTGTCATACGGCACATAGTCATTTATGAGTTTAAGTGATAATATGTATATGGCATGAAAACTTTAGTTATATATGGGCAAAGTATAAGGGTAGGATATTACACTAAAAGTCCAAAATTTGTTATAAATATATTATTTGCAACCATAAAATTTTGGTGGCAGCATTGGTCGCCATAGCTGAGTTACTAATACCTAATGCAACCAAAATAATGATTGGTAGCTAATGCAACCAAAATAATGATTGGTAGCGGAAAAGCAAGCTATGGCAACAAAATTTGCCAACGGTAAAAACCCTTGAATTTTCGCAACCATTTTAATTTGATTGTCATGGTCCAAACTAATGGTTGGGAAAAGTAGGTGATTGTTTAATACATTAGCTTCCAAAATATAATTGGTTGCAAATATAAGTCCTTTGCAACCAATGTTAGTTTGGTAGTAAGAATTTTGGTTGCAAAAGCTATATTTTGTTGTAGTGTTACAAGGATTAGGCCGCTTGGGAATATGGCTTTTCGATAAGAAGGTATTTAGAAAAGAGCATTTGAACACCACATTTCTCAGTAAATAAGATTTCCATAATATATTATGAATCTATTGGTCTCGATAACTCAAAATGTTATAAAATAAAAACCGAAAAAATGCATCTTATATCATTCTATTACAAGACCTCTCGCGATACAATTCCACTTTGTAAAAGCTCTCTCCTCACGAGAAGTTCATGTGCTTATATATGGTCGCATCCATTGAGCCTTCAGAAAGACCGGACGATCCTTGGGAGTCCCATAAAGTCCATCGTCACAAACAAGCCATCTCCCGAAAACATCGTAGTATTCCTTGTACGCCACGAAAGAAATACGCCTATTTTCGACCGCGAGTTTGCACCAGAAGAGCGTCCCCCCAAAGAAATTCGTCCCGAAGCTCCAGTGAAAGCTAGCCCCAACGGCTAACGCATGGGCTCCGAGGTCGGTGTCTTTGGATTGACAATGCACAATCAGTATTTTTTCACTCAACTGATTGGTAATGTTAACCGACGACGGGATCGAAACCGAAGGACGTGCCATAATGATGATCATTATGGTCGCCAATACTGCTACCGCCGGTAGCAATGCTTTGTTGATTACCATAGCAATCTGATTCTGAGTAGAGTGTATTTTCATGATCAATGCCGATTCCTTTTTTATAGTGGTTGATTTGATGAAGAGTAGCAGATTAATTGAAGTATTCGAAAAACCGGTGCTGCTTTTGCTTGTTATTCTGTGACGGGAGATGTTGTCGTTTTTCGGCATATAACTGATGCCGTTTTCCCGAGAGTTACCGGTGCAGGAAACTCTTTCTGGCTTTTACACTTAAGATTTTGCCGGCGATGCCAAATAATTCCAAACCGGACGGCCGGGCTGGTCCAACTCAAAGAGATCAGCGGGAGGTGGGGAGAAACGGGGGAGCTCATGGTTCATCTTAATTATTAGAATATATTGTCTCATTTTATGTGTAGTTGGGTTGTTGGATTTGGATCATGACGTATTTTAAATTTGATGGATGTAACACAAGTTTGTTGTTTGTTGATGGAAGTCAAATTCGTGCCATCCACGGATTTGGTTTTTATTTTGGATACAAATCCATGAATTATAAGGGACTTGTAAATCCAACACAATGTAAAAAATCAGTAAGTATCAATAACTTGAGTTCATCGCTAAAACTAGCACGGTGTGGCTAATGATTTTTGATGGACTATAGTAACCGGCTGCCAATGTATCGATCATTCTTTCTGTTTTTGGGCGGCTTTGATTAGGGATTGTTGTTTATGGTTAATCAATGAGATTATAGATGGGTCCTTCTTAAAAAGTAGGGTCGATGAAATTGGTCTTGGGCACGTACGTACGACTCTTTTATCTTAAACTAATTTGAATAATAACCGCATGAAATAAATAATGTTTAATTAATTAATCACCTGCTTGGCGCTAGGGATGACAATTTGGACCCGCCCTGCCTGGTATTACCCGACTTGACCCGCGATGGGGCGGATATTACCCGACCCATAGTAGCGTGGGGTGGGGCATGGGTATCAACTTCCTACCCGCCCTACCTCGGTCCGGCCCATTCTTGGCCCGTTCTAGGTCAATTTTTTATGTCATCCATTCATATATATCATATTTTGGTTATTCTTCAAATAGTTCGATTTGATCTTTCAATTAGATAGACTCAATTATCTATTATATTATCACTATTATTCATTCATGAAGTCTTTTTCCCTTGGTTTTATCGTAAAAAGTAAAATTTTGTGTGTATTTTTTAGTTGACTTTCGTTTGAGAAGACGTGTTAAAGAGTGGTATAAGATCCAACTTGTTGAGTGAAAATTTTTCAAAAAAGAATTGTGTCGTTTTTATTCTCTTCACAAGCTAGAAATGACAGAGTAACTTTCCCAAACTCTATATATACACACACACGATTATCCACATGCCATAATGTGTAGACTGCAAAAGAGAATAAGGAATTTATTTATTTATGCAACGAGGTTTGTCTCTTATTTCCCGTACCCCTCGAACAACCTTTGACACATAAATCTAAAGGAGTTTTACAATACTTTATAGTTTGGTTGCTTTACAAATTTGTTTTGGTACAAATTTTAATTGTATTTTTAAAATTTTGGTATAAATCTATTTTGTATCATTTTTCTATAAATTAATTTATGATACAAAATAAACTTGTATTTTTAACGTTATTATATAAGTGAGTTTTTACTTATATTATTTTGTAAAATTCTTTTGTGGTACAAATTCCTTTAGAGCTATAGAGCATAGTAGAAAGGCTCTAAAGCTGACCATCAATTTAATTAGAGATAATAATGGACAGTTTTGATTTATCGAAATACCTTTTACATACTACACCGTTTTAGACTTTTAGACTTAGATCATTAGAATTTAGAGTTTACTCATTAACGTTTAAGATATAATACTATTTCCCAAAACTCTATTTAGTTGAAACTCTAAATATTATATTTTTACGGTAACCCCGAATTCACTGGAAGGTATGCGCGCTAATCACCAAATAAAAAGCACATTTATCCTGCGCTACATAAATAACGAGTAAAATTAGTAAATACAACAATAGTGTCCAGGTAATTTAGTTCAAGACATTTAAGAGTTGTACGTAACGTGCTGAAAAACAAAGCGGGAGATCCATCGAGATTCGAGGCCACATCACTAGTGACGTAGGCAAGATTTTGTTTAATGTGAGTCTGATATATACACACACGTTAGTTTTAATTATTTTTTATAATACAATTTGTTTTCGTAATTTAATACATTTATCTTCCGAACTATAAACGATGTGCTGAAAATTCATTCTATCTTCATTACTCATTTGACATTGAAGTAACAATATACTTCGTTGTGGAAAAATGCCCTTTCGAAATCTCTCTATTGATCGATAGTAACAATACTAGCTTCATAAGTCGATATGCGAATAAAAAAAACGCAAATGAATCTAAGAAAGTGACAAAGTACATCAAAACACCAACTATTATTCATTGATACATACGTTTCCTGACAGTATAAGAAAATATTTGAGTTTGAATTATACTCGCAACACCTCAATCCGTCATTTTTTTGTTGTCGCCGGCTGGAGCCAAACACCCGCCTTTAACTCTTGGCTCTGCCACTAATCCCAGCCCTAGTATTTAAGAATGACCCATCTCATCTCTTCTCAACTCAGCTTTCATCACAAACAACAAACCCTAATTAATAGCCACCGCGGCATTTAAATTTTAGCGACCAGCAACAGCCGGCGGAATTACTATGGTCCAGCAAAAATTACTAGCCACCGCGGTAGCTTTAGCGACCGTCATTATCATTGTCCACGGAAAAGAGACCGTCACCATTGTCAACATGCTTCCCAAGACGGTAACAGTGCACTGCCGATCCAAAAACAACGACCTGGGCTCCCGCGACCTCAACACTTGGGACGAGTACAGCTGGAGCTTCGGCAACAACGCTTTCGGCGGGACGCTGTTTTGGTGCGACCTCAGGATTGCGAAAGCCAATCAGTGTCTTCATTTCGATGCATATGATCAAGACGACAATAAGCATGTTTACCGGTGGGAGGTCCATGGTGCTGAAGGGATCACCGGCACGAATCAGGACGGCGCTCCGGTGGGCGAAGTGGCTGAATGGAGGCAGTGTTAACTAGATTGATTTCATCATCCCACCGCGCGCGAGTTATTGGGAATCGAATACTGGTTCTTGACGTGGTATATTATAGCGCCTTCTGTGATCGAGAGGTGTTTTGTTCGCGAATCCTGGTGGGTTACTGTGTGGCGAGGAATCGAGTCGTTGAGTTTCTTGATAGAAGTGTGATGACTTGATCTTCTATCGTACGTTTTGCTTGTTGCTCGTTTTTTCGTTCGTGTGTTTGTTTTCTGCCTTGAATTTCTTCTCCATGGATGCATGGAGAAGAACTCTTCTTTCTCCCTTTTGTTTTGGTGTCCACTACTACGGACTGAATTAGGAAGGAAGCCTGGTGTGTGGAGCTCCTTTTGATTTCCTTCTCCTTATTTCCTCTTCGATTATTAAAATAAAAGAGTGGCCATGAAGAAATTATATATAAGATTGTTTTTGTGTTTCTTTCAATGTTTCGATTTATTGAGTTCTACTGATTTTTGAAGAGTTGATATGGGAATACATCATGAGTTCTTAGCTGAAATCTTTTTAGGAATGCTATACAACTATTATCAATGAAAAGGATGGAAGAAATTAGGAGAAAAATTGTAGATCGGGCGCAACTCGAATCACCTTAGGATATCATTCACTTGATTAAAATGAGTTGAAAGAGTAGATTTGAGAATTGAGAAACTTGTTACAATAGCAAGGCAAAAATGCGATGAAAAAAAATGCAAATAGACATGTTTGAGAAGTTTGCAAATCAGAGTGAACCATAGTTAGTATAAAATATATACACGTATTTTACTTCTTCTCTAAGCTAATGTTATGTTTGATAGTATGTTAATTATCATGAATATATTAAATTAATTATTTTAAAAATAAATAAAATATAAATAATAGTAAAGTTACCAATTTAATTCATTAGATACGGATATTAAACATATTACACGGGTTTTGTATGTGTTTAGTACGGGGGTCATCAAATGAATGGGGGAAAATGAAACGGCTTGATAGTAATACAAATACGATATGAAAGTTTTAAATGGATAAAATACGTACGGGTTCATATACGTGTATTAAATGGTGTATTTACTTACTATGGAGTGAACTATCAAAGTTTTTCCGACGGCTATTGCAACATTGTGCATGGGTATGTCATAAGCCAGTTGGTCCAATAACTCGAGTTGTTGAGAGAAGGTTATGTTGGATCTTATATAGGCCCATGTATGATACTTAACCACTTTCTTACAGGGTATAAGAGCATCCACAAGGTAAGACCAATGAGATTGATGAGATTTGGGTTTGGGTTTGGGAAACACAAGAGTTTTTATGTGAGAATTACCTGTGGTTGACGAGTGAAATACAAGAGGTTGAGCGAAGAAATCCAACCCACACATGTGTGTGCGTATGAAAGTTGTGATGATGACAGATTTAATTTGAGTTCAACTATATGCATTACAAAGTTCTATGAAGACTATGATTACCGTAGGTTTTCTAACAGTGATGGATAATGCATCTGAAATTTTGTGTTTCGAATCACTTGTTGTCATAACTGAACCTATCATTTGTGACAATGGTAGATATATATGAGATGACATAGCCTTCACTCTTTCGTAGCATATGCACAATATCATTTCTCTCAACAATTGGTCCGACCCAGCTTAATTATAGTTGAAACCGACCCCGCCACTTATCAGCCCAATCCACCCACCAACCTCATGTTAGCCCAACAAGTTATTGGACTAGACAGATCGATGAAATATTCAAAAAAAAAAAACAATGGCAGCCAGCAACCCAATAGCTAGGGCCAAAAAATTTCAAGAACTTCCAGAAGAAAGAAAGAAGAAAAAAAAACATGTTGGGCTTTTCCTACTGAGATGGAGGCCTATCCATTATCAATAATCGGGTGCATTTT